AGATGTGTGAACAGATATTGGATGGAAGGAGGGAGTCTAAATTGATAGATTAGTCAGGGAATTCATGTGTACTTGGACGAAGGAGTGAATTGGAATGAGGGGAAGTTGAAGGGATGAAGGTATGCACGAGCAAATTGGACCTGAAATTTTACAGTTGCAAGGTGGATGAGTGGATAAAGGCTAAACTCTGGAGTGAATGTAGGTATCTGGGATGGATAAAAATGTGTGAATCAAGCATGAGTAACTATCTGGAAAGAAAGAATGTTACACTGAGGAGTGAGTGTCAGGCCGTTGGGTGAATGGCTGCTTGGTTGGCTAAACGCTGGGAGTTGTGAATGGACGAGTAGATTAACAGTTTAGAAATGGGTGCATGGGTAATTTAAAGGGAGATTTTCGAATATGATGAATGGGTGAATGATTGGTGAGTTCGGTGGAGCAAGGTGGATGTCTGGCCACAGAAATGAATGTGTGGTGATAGTGGATGCTAGGCAGACAGGCAAGCGTGGGAGTCTTCTCTTTCATCGAGGATGATATCGTGACTGACCTGCTGTTGGTTAAGTATCATGCTCCTGTTGGAATTGACATGTGGCATCATCGAAAGACCACTTGCATCGTAATGAAACTGAAATTTGAAGCCGACAATGGACTGGGGGAGTGGCTGGGTCGCATTGCAGAGGGCTGGTCACACACCTTTATGTGCTAAGTCGCACCAATCCAGCCAATCTCAGCAACACTTGCTATTATTTAAGCGTCCATAGTGGTGCTGAATTTTATCCGTCTATTCCAAGGCTTCGTATGATTCATTCCCACATTACTTTCAGTACAACCCTCTAAAGCGTGAACGTGCTTTAGCCATCAGTCAATTCCTGGGAAGTAGGATCGGTGCAAAAATGTGTCACTGCAGCTGAACCATCATAGAGCAGCTTGCATTACTTCGACATAGGTACTGGAATCTTAGTGATGCTGTGCATACCTCCACTGCTTTAATTTCTGTTTTGATATTGCACTCAGAAGTTTTGTTACCCATACAGATGCTATTTGCAATGTTCCATCCTTCAGTAGGCATTTTATCCTCAACGATAGCTGATAGGTTGGGTGTCTATGACCAAACATCGTACACCCTGGGTGCCGTACTCTAGGTATCACTGCACCCGGAATGGTGACTTGTCATTGAAATTTAACACTTAATGCCTTATTACCGCATAAACTGTACTTGTGATCCTCTTTACATTCAATAGGCTATTTGATGGTATGGACCATCTTTGACAAGATACTCAATTCATCACCACACCTTCCTAGTGTATGCCCGCACTTGGTGTCACGGTGTAGCATCTTGATTAACGGTGCTTGGACTAAAATGCTTCATGCCGCGTTCGCTGATCGTTACTAGTAATGGAATGCACTTAGTGCTGTGGTACCATCTCTTCACAATTGCAAATTCAGAGATCCCACTTCCTCATGAACGCTCATTGAAGGTCCAGTCGATAGTGTGGTGCAGGGAATAGTTGACTACCAACACTAGGAAAAGTATGTAGGAAGGAAATACATGGGATACATCATCTGCATGCCTTTCAACTCGAATTCAATGCCGTAGAGTTTTCTCGTGAGGTTAATTTAAGAAGAACTTTGAAAAGCAGCAGTAGTGAAAGTTGCTATTTGGAAATCTTCCATAAGTAGATGCATCAAGTCTAGAAAATTTTCTCTTTTTCATCTTGAAGTCTCACATGTTGATGCTAGTTAAAGTAAGTGATGACTGAAGTATAAAGAAGACCCTGGGTGACGTTCAATGTGAATGATGCAACGATTCCTTCATAAGTCCATTCACTACTAAAGTATTGGTCTTGGAGGCTATGTAGGGGTAGGTGTAGGCAAGTACTAGAAATTTGCCTTTTTGTACTTCCAAGGCACGCGATATTTCATTCTGAGGAACCTGTGCTTAATTTTGGAGTGCGGGATTATGTAGTGCTTAGTACAATCCTTCCTTCTCCACAATACCATTTTCGTCGTCCAAATGTGCTTTACAAATCCAGCTAAAAGTAACGAAAACAAGTTTGGTAATAAGATCACATGCATCATGTTGCCTTTTTATAGTTTTCCTGCCATTTGGTGCTCGACCTTACTGTGAGCTGGATTTCCCTTTGATTTCATGCCGTTATGTTGATGGTAACAGCCGGGAATTACTTGATTATTACATGCTGAAAACCCTACTTCATGGTTTACTCATCAATGCCTAGACAACTTTACTAAAATAATGTCTGGGCTAACTGAGATGGCTGCTAAAGCTCTAAGGATGGGTGGGAGTGAAACAAGCAGACATGCTACTCAGTTAGCGTTTCAGTAGAAGGAGACCACACCTTTGCTAGTGATTAGGATATAATTAACTTAAAATGTGCATATTTTGGCCTATATAATTGGCTTTGAAAGATTTAAGAGATGATGGCTAGACAGGCCTTTGATCGTTCCACTATCAGCCCATTTCTTCTAGCAAACAAATGGGAGTGGAAAAGTGAACTAGCTTTGCCACACGAAGTGTGCTTACTGTGCTGCTTATTCACTGCCACGGGCTCACTGGTAATGTGCAATTAGTGCATTCTCATACTGGATAAGAGGGATGATAATGTACAAAACTTTTTCGATGGGTATTCTGAAATAATCGTTTTTGCGAGTCCACGTTGCTTACTTGGCCTTCATCTGCCCCGATGCGTTAGTCCTATTTTACTTTGGGTAACATGGGGTTAGCCTTCACGTTCCCCATTATAATCGCAATGCGACGTCAAATTAGTTTTTACTCGCCTATTTACTCTCGATGGATGCAGCAGTAAATGTAAAGGACGTGTCATGATTGGGGACCTCCAGTTCCCTTTACCTTGATCCGTTTCATTACAATGTAAGTGAAGGCCTAACAATGAATATCATCATTCATGTTGGTGTTATCTGGACACCTTCACGTGGCTAGAATACAGCCTATTAAAAGTCAGTGGGTTAGGCTAAATGTTAGTTTCGATTTGCAATAAAAACGGAAGTGGTCGCTCTTCATTCCTCTGTGGCTGACATTTTAGAGTTCCTAATATCACAAGTGCTATCAGACGATGATATTGGAGGTGAACATACCGACGGGACAATTTTTGCTTTAGAAGCTTCTAAGACGCGATTGGACACTATGAGCATAGCGAGTACCCTCTTGCTAATAGCGCAACACCTTGCTCACCTTGGAATTGACATTCAGCGTCAGCGCAGGACCGATCGCATGGTTATGGAGTGGTGTGGTTCACTTTAGAGGGGACCGATCATTATTTTGCGCATCTTCATGGTCTGCCTCACTGGTCTATCCGATCGTGGCAACAAGTACTATACTAACTTATCCAAACAGGTGACGGAAAGCATCCATTTATTATTATGAACCTAACGAATCATTGTGTGGTGTGTGGTAAGCCGTCTTTGAAACACTGGCGCCAAATCTCTTAATATGACTGGATACCAACGCCATCCGTTCATTCGAGTAGACATTTGCAAGCTAAGAGCTTTGACAGTTTTTGGCAAGAAAGCTGATGCGTCGCCGCACCTTGCTTCATGTATGCACGCGCTCGGTGTCATTGTTTGAGGTCTTGATCAACAACGTTTGCACTGGGACGGTTCACGACACGTCCCTGGCCATTATGGGTAGTAATGGGCTACACTCATTGCTGTGGTAACCCCTCTTTATAAATGCCAATTCCGAAGTCTCGATTCGCCTTTAACGCTCCTTGTGGGTCTACTTTATTGTCGGGTGCCAAGCGGAGTTGACTATCGGCACTGGGAAAATTATGCAGGAAAGGAATACAGAGGATAATCCAGCTTTACGCTATTTAACTCAATTCCAATGCCGTCAAGATTTTCGTCAAGTCGTTGTCTTTGTATAATTTTTAGAAAAGTAGCAGTGGCGAAAATTATCACAGAGAAATCACCTACAAATGGATGTGCCAAAAGCAATTTAATATGGGTCAAAAAATGAAGTGTCAGGAACAAACCTGGGTGAAGGTCACTGCGAGTGATGTAACATTTCATTACACGTACATCAATTGCAAAGTCTTGGTTCCAAATGCCATGCATAAATAGGCGTAGGCAAGCTTGAAAAACCTCTTTCCTCACATGAAAAATGCGGTGTTTTTTACTATTTGCCTATTGAGTTTTGATGCCTTTTGCGGTTAAACGTTTTATAAATATCAATTCATATCGTTAACAATCTGCGAAGGACGCATTCACTACCCCACACTTCTAAAATCTGCAACATTTTATTTATAGAATACTGCTTTTCGTGGGCGTGTGTAGGGGTGGCCCTTGTGGTGCTTGATTACCATGAAATGCTCTACTTTTTTAGACTATTATTTTCGTCGCTTCAATGTGTCCTGCAAATCTAACTAGAACCAGGGTCAACAACCCAGTTTAAGGGTTAACCATGTCAAATAAAATGGTGTTTAGTCATAATCGGAGCTGAGTATCCTTAAGATTCAATGCTGTCGTGTTAATAAGAGTTGCCAAGGTGGTATGGTCTTTGCCTAACTATAGCCTGTCTTTTGCTCTACCCTCATCACTGGTTTTCTACTTGACAGAGGCCTTCCATAGGTGCTATGCCCTCTCCGTACCGATTGTTATGCCGCCTTCGCGGCCACAAGGAGGGTCTGGCATGTCTGTCTGCAACTCACGTGCTGTACTTAAGCATATTTGTATTGAAAAACCTGATTTGATGGACGGAGTGTGTCACTGTTTGTTTGCATTTTTGACCTGTCACAATGTTGGCGAAGTGTCCTCTTGTAGACAAGCCTAGTTGAATAGTCTGCATATTTCCCATTTTGAGTAGCGGTTAGGGAGGAAGAGCAAAGCTTTGCGAGTGAGTTAGTATTTCCAAAGGTTGCCAGGTTGAATTGTAGCGCTCTTTGAGTAAAATGTGAATCACATAGCCGCAAATGATCATGGTATCTCTGTTACAAAACTGCTTTTATTTTTTATGCGTTGGATGACATAACCTCCAACTTGGTGTCAACTCTAACCACAACCGCAACCATCGGATTAGTTGGGCTTAAATGTATAGATATTCTGCTTGTCTCCCGACACAAATTGTTTTAGTGTGAATATCGTCTGTGATGATACAATTGCCTGTTGACAGCCACACTTTATCTTTTTCTGTTGCATCTTTTGCGTTGCAAAAGAGTACAAAAGACATAGAAAAGACATAATTATTGGTGAATGCGAACTGAAGTCCACTGGGCTATTCTATATGATCACTGGCAACAAAAGTAGTGGGAAAGAACTGAGAGGTAAGCGAAAAGGTAGACAGAAAGGCAGACGAATGCTTTAGAGTCAGTGGCTGGCTGTTGCAACTAGAAATCGGCATTAGAGTTTGTGGTGTTTTTGTGGGGGGAGCAATTGTTTGGTACACGTAAATAAGGTGAACTGGTCCATGACTACTTGTTCTTGGCTCTGCTTTCACACGAGCTGTGCAAGCGTAGACATCATGGGTTGTGGATGATGGGTAATTGAGTGGACAGCCAAAGAACTGCTGTGGTGGAGGAGTAAAACCATGATATTGATATTGATAACTCCACCTGTAAAATGGGAGACTTTTATGTAAATGGAAATGGATGAGCAGAGGTGCAGCGTAAGTGACTGCGTTACTAGCGGTTCGACAGACGTTGCGACTTCTGTTCCACTGGCGCGCCTGCATGCTCACAGTCGTCACTGTGTCCTCCATTCTACCGTCTGTCTGCGTTACCGGGGTGCACCTACTCATCCCATTCGCATTCCCATTTGCCTTCTCCTTACATTGAAAAAGGTGCCCTTTGTTAGATTTTAAAAATGGCTTTTTACTCCTTTTCACTTCACTTACAACCACATCATACTATCGCACTTTCCTTCGTTGCTATTCATCCACTTTTCACCCGCTCACAGAACATGTACTTGCCCCTACCCTTGTCACTGCACACCTGGTGTCTGGCCACAACTCTTCACTTTGGCTGATTTGATGGTTTTTTCACGCTTCTACCTCACTAATTTTATATTTGTAATGCTTTGAGGCACATGACTCGTGTTGATATATTTACACCTTCAAAAGAAGTCACCTTTTCCTTACATTCCCACTTGCATAACTGGAGTGAGTTTGAAGTGTTCCCTTGCGAACTATCCATGACGCCCACTTCTGCTGTAAACTATGTTGATGTGGTTTGTCCTTATGGATAAATTGGTAGGTGGATCGACGTGGATGAGTAGGAATGTGAGCCAATGATGTGGCAGATGTGAAATATTGAAAGTATTGGTCATCTTATCATTAAAATGAGGCCTAAGTGGTTAAATTCTTCAGTGTGGCATCCTTAGAGAGGAATGAGTTAATGATGAAAGCTGATGCAGTGAAGGGTTTGTGTGACTTGATAGCAGGGAGTAAGAGGTGAGTTGTACCCGAATATGAGACTACTACCGAGAGAACAAATAGTGCGCCCCGTAAAAAATTCATCTATCTCTCATTTATTCATCTATCATGATTTGCCATTATTTTAACCATTCGCCATTATTTCCCTCCTTGTCCGTTGTAAATGAGCGTCTCCTACTTCTTCAGTTTCTTCCAATGAGCTTATATGTAGACCCACGTCTGGTCATTGTTTACAATGCCCTTCCCAATGTTACACCTTCAGACAGACTCAGAGTAGACCTTGTGCTAGTGCCATGTGTGCAGGCGCGCTTAAGGCTCTATCAATACTTCTAGTTGATTTGTCACGCTGTTGGGTCTATTAATTAAACCCACCTTAAGCCAAATAGACCGACTTCTCTAATTCATGCAACTCATGCTACTGACTAAAATGCAAAATGACTGGGCACAAAATTAAATTATCCAGAAGAGAGAGGAGACAGTACTGCTTGGATTATGAGCACTCTCTGCTTCTGCTTTAGGCAAAGATGATCTAAACTCCTTTTATGTGAAGTGGGCACGTGCAGTGTATTCCAGGTATTGAGATATCAACACTTTTGAAGGCATGGACGAGGGAAAGCAGATTTGTCATTTTAAAATATTTTGTCTGTCGGAATACCTGTCCCTTAGAAACTCTGCTTCTTGAAACCAGACGCATCCAGAAATAAA